AAAGCAGTGTTCCCTCTAGCTGAGTGAGTGTGAGCCAGCTCACAGTTTTTTAGCCTCCGGCTCACACGTTTTTGTCTCAGCTCAGGAAGGACAGCTTCAGAGCCAACTAATTTATGCAGCAGCCAAATCCACTGGCTCACACAACTTTAATGCAAATAGCTCACAAAGCAGAAGTTTTGCTCACGAGACTCAACGGCTTAGAGGGAGCCTTGCTCCTGAGCAGTGTTCCCTCTAAGCTGAGTGCGTGTGAGCCGGCTCACAGTTTTTAGCCTCTGGCTCACAGGTTTTTTGTCTCAGCTCAGGAAGGAGGGCTCCAGAGCAAACTAATGTATGCAGTAGCCAAATCGCTCGCTCACAACAAAGTAGAATTTTTGCTCAGGAGACTTGACGGATTAGAGGAAGCCTTGCTCCTGAATAAACATGCACTGTTAAAAAGGTTTCTTGGAAAAAGCGACAGACTCGCTCGAATTCTGCAGATCCAGTTCTGCTCGACCTCAGCAGGTGAGCCGTGTACCTGTTCTCCTCCGGCCCTTTTAATTGGTCGACAGCCTGGGGGTGGGTCTTGGCTGGGCATTCCAGGATGTCAAGATCCTGTACGGAAGCACCCAACGTTTCCTCCTACGGTGCAGCTTAAGGGCAACTCCGGGGCTCCGTGAGAGGAACCCCTTTTCCATTTCAGGGGTTTGAAGGGACCAAGGGAAGAGGTAAGAGAGAGGGAGAGCAGCTTTTCCTTCGGGAGATCTGCCTCGTCGCCAGGAAATCTACGCTAGTCTGTTGCAGCCAGAACAAACAAGAATATCTCGTGGCATCCTCGGCATGACAAGAGAACTTAGTGTGGCGTGAACTTCTGCAGGGTGAAGCCCACATGGAAAGGGGCTGGGTTTGGTGCAGTCGTGATTTCTATGTGTGTGTGTGTATAAATCATGCACTTATACATCATGCATGGATGATCATGCACTTATTATTGGGTTCATCTCAGGAGGGTGTGGAGCAATCTGTGAGTCTGGTGCACGTATGCCCGGGGCTTTTTTCCTGGGGGAACCGTTTCGACGAACTTCTTTTTAAAATGTCCAAATGTTCATGATTTTTCAGTATACAGACTGAAAACTTCCTTTCCCTCTCAAGAGTTCCAGCACCTCTTTTCTTAAAAAAGAAAGAAAGAAAGCCCTGTGTATGCCTAACACAAGGCAATGGCAAATAACCACCCCCCTGTCTCTCGCTGGCCTTGAAAGCCCCTTGCTGAGGTCGCCCGTAAGTCGGTTATGGGTTGATGGCATTTACCTACCGTGTGCCTAACACAACATGCAGGCAGTCCTGTGCAAGGGCTGTGCTGCAGATGTGCCCCCACCCACCCACCCCCGTGCCCTGACACACACACACAAACACACAGATGGCCCGACCATCTAGCGCAAGCCATGTGCAAAGTAGTGAATATGAACATGCACTGGCATAGCAGACGCATCCAGCTGCACATGCTTTTATGTACTATTCCCCCCCCACACAACAGGGAAGTGACAAGTCCGTAGGGAAGGTTAAAGGGACAATCTTGTGAGGACACTTTGGCTTGGATCGAACAGCTATTGAGAGCCAGTTTGGTGTCGTGGTTAAGTGCATGGACTCTAATCTGGGAGAACCGGGTTTGATTCCCCACTCCTCCACTTGCACCTGGCTGGATGGCTTTGGGCAAGCCGTAGTTCTGATAAGAGCTGTACTTGAAAAAGAGCAGTTTCTGTCAAGAGCTCTCTCAGCCCCACCTACCTCACAGGGTGTCTGTTGTGGGGAGGGGAAGGGGAAGGAGTTTGTAAGCCACTCTGAGACACCTTTGGGTAGTGAAGGGCGGGGTATAAATCCAATCTCTTCTTCTTCTTTTACCTCACAGGGTGTCTGTTGAGGGGAGGGGAAGGAGTTTGTAAGCCGCTCTGAGACACCTTTGGGTAGTGAAGGGCGGGGTATAAATCCAATCTCTTCTCTTCTTCTTTTACCTCACAGGGTGTCTGTTGTGGGGAGGGGAAGGGGAAGGAGTTTGTAAGCCACTCTGAGACACCTTTGGGTAGTGAAGGGCGGGGTATAAATCCAATCTCTTCTCTTCTTCTTTTACCTCACAGGGTGTCTGTTGAGGGGAGGGGAAGGAGTTTGTAAGCCGCTCTGAGACACCTTTGGGTAGTGAAGGGCGGGGTATAAATCCAATCTCTTCTCTTCTTCTTTTACCTCACAGGGTGTCTGTTGAGGGGAGGGGAAGGAGTTTGTAAGCCGCTCTGAGACACCTTTGGGTAGTGAAGGGCGGGGTATAAATCCAATCTCTTCTCTTCTTCTTTTACCTCACAGGGTGTCTGTTGTGAGGAGGGGAAGGGAAAAGGAGTTTGTAAGCCACTCTGAGACACCTTTGGGTAGTGATGGGCTCGGTATAAATCCAATCTCTTCTCTTCTCCCTCTTCTATTGAAAGGCACCTTCTGGACCAGAAATTAATATCAGTGAGATATCATTTGGCATGTGATTGGATCTTGGGGAGGTCTCGTTTATACTTTCATTCTATGCCTAGTAATTCCAGTCTGGAACAATTCCTTTCTGGTCCATTCTTTTCTGCTGTATAATTGTATTGCATTAAGTATTGTGGTATAAGCAAATTTGTTCCTTGTCGTGTTTGACCTCTGAAGAAGGCCCTGACAGGCCGAAACATGTCAGGTCAAGTCCACTGAGGTGTGATTGGGCCCCTATATATATATATATATATTTGAATTCTTTACTAATAAACCCATGCAATTTTACACATTATTTATACATTACGTTTTAACTGTTGGCCCTCTACTCAGTTTGACGTACCTTTTTAGGTTCTTGAGCCACGTTTTCAGGGTTAAAACTTTGCTTCCCTTTTTTGTCCATAGTTTTTTATTTATTTATTTATTTACAGGTGATTTATATACCGCTCATAACCCCTAGCGGGTCTCAGAGCGGTTTACAATGTGCTACTATATAGTAGCGAGTAACCTATCTAGGGCCAAATATGGTGCGGGGGGGGGACAACCTACCAGCACCCCTGATATGGCACGGTCTTCCGTTCGTTCGGCAGCTTTCCTTGGTGTGTGATTGTTGTTGCGGTTGTTCCTGCGACCCGGCTGCCGCCGGCTGGACGAGCTGGCTGTTATTCTTGGAGCGGCGTGTCTTTCCTCGGGCGCAGCCTCGGCTAACGTCCACTCTTTTGAGCCACGCCAGCCCGATTCCCTTCCCTGAACAGGATTCCAAAGTGCAGGCGCAAACCACAGCTTTTGGTGGGACGTAAGGCCAGACTTTGGTTTGCTACAAAAGCCACGCATGAGGACAGAAGAGAGCAGGAGCCCCAGGTCTGCCCTGGCTTACGGTTGTCAACTCCAAGTTGGGAGATTCCTGGAGATTTTGGGGGTGGAGCCTGGGGAGGGCAGGGCTTGTGTAGGGGAGGGGCCTCAGTGGGTGCCATGGCATAGACTCCGCCCTACTGAGCTGCCATTTTCTCCATTTCGTAGTCGAGAGATCAATTGTAATTCTGGGAGATCCAAACTGGAGGTTGTCTCTGCGGGTAGCCGTGTTGGTTTGCGGCAGCAGAAGAGTTGGGTTTTGTACCCTGCTCTTCTCTACCCGATGGCCGTGGTGGCTCAGAGGTTAAGACTCTGAGCTACAGTGCCGCAAGACAGAGTGAGCTCCCATCTCTGGCCCCAGCTCCTGCCAGCCTAGCAGTTCGAAAGCAAGAAATTGCAAGTAGATAAATAGCTACCGCTTCGGTGGGAAGATAACAGCATTCCGTGCGCCTCGGCATCTAGTCATGCCAGCAGCATGACCATGGAGAAGTCTTCGGACAGCACTGGCTCTTCGGCTTGGAAGCGGAGATGAGCACTGCCTCCTAGAGTCGGATTCGACTAACTCTTGAGCAAGGGAAACCTTTACCTTTACCTTTCTCTACCCTAAGGAGTCTCAAAGTGGCTTACCATCCCCTTCCCTCCCTCTCCACATGACAGACACCTTATGGACAAGGTGGGGTAGAGAAGAAGAAGAGATTGGACTACCTGAAGGAGTCTCAGAGCGGCTTACCATCTCCTTTCCCTCCCCCTCCCCACAACAGACAACCCTGTGAGGTAGGTGGGGGCTGAGAGAGTTATTTCGAGGACTGCCCTTGAGAGAAGAACTCTGAGAGAACTTGTGACTGACCCACGGTCACATCAGCAGCTGCATGTGGAGGAGTGGGGAATCAAACCCGGTTCTCCCAGATTAGAGTCCGCGCTCCTAACCGCTACACCAAACTGGCTCTCTCTCAGGCTTCATGTGGAGGGGGAGTTGGGAATCAAACCCGGCTCTCCAGATTAGAGTCCGCTGCTCTTAACTAATACACCATGCTGATTCTCAGGACAGTTAGATATGAATCTAGTAGCTCCTTAAAGACCAACAGGATTTGGGGGGCATGAATTTTCTTTGAGAGTCAAAGCTGCGTTCATCAGATCCCGTATCTGGCAAACGGAGCTGTGGCTCCTGAGAGCTCATCCCCCGAAAATCTAACTGGTCTCTAAGGTGCCCCGGGACTCAAATCCAGCTGTTCGCCTGGAGGTTGGCAACCCTGTCTGGTTCGTTCAGTGACTGTCAGAAGCAGGCCTCGGAGAAAGTCCAAGTTGTGGACCGACTGCACAACTCAATGGCTCAGCCGCAAAGCTACATGTGTGTCCCAACACGAGAGCCAGTTTGGTGTTGTGGTTAGGAGCGCGGACTCTAATCTGGGAGAACCGGGTTTGATTCCCTACTCCTCCGCATGCAGCTGCTGGTGTGACCTTGGGTCAGTCACACGTTTCTGCCCTTGTCTCAAGGGCAGTTTCTGTCAGAGCTCTCTCAGCCCCACCTACCTCACAGGGTGTCCGTTGTGGGGAGGGGGAGTGTAAGCCACTCTTTCTTCGGGTAGTGAAGGGCAGGGTATAAATCCAGTCTCCTCCTCCTCCTCCTCCTCCTCCTCCTCCTCCTCCTCTTCTTCTTGGTGTCTGCAGCCATGGACTCTGGGAGCCCCGACCTTCTGGACGTTCTCTTCGAGCGACGGGAAGACCCGTTCCCCACGAGCGCCTTCTCCGGAGCAGACCCCAGACTCAGTTTCCCTCTCCAAGACCACGCTTACGGATGCATCTCAGAGAAAACGTGCGAGACGTGGGTGCCCAGCAGGGAACAGGTGAGTCGAGGAAAGAAGTTAAGATATCTTGGGGCCCTTTCAGGGACATGCGCAAGGTGATTAGGCATAAAATCATAAAGAACCAGGATATGGTTGCCAGCTCGGGGTTGGGACATACCAGGAGATTTTGGGGGTGGAGCCTGAGGAGGGTGGGGTTTGGGAAGAGGAGGGTCTTCGATGTGGTATAATACCATAGAGTCCACTTCCAGAGTGGCCATTTTCTCAGGGGAGCTGATTTCTGTCGCCTGGAGATCAGTTGTAATAGCAGGAGATCTCCAGCCACCAACTGTAGGTTGGCAACACTACCAGGATCTCTCTCTCTCTCTCTCTCTCTCTCACACACACACACACACACTGAAGGGAGCTTCAGAGGGCGGATTGTATGCCATCGCATCCTGCTGAGTTTCATAAGAACATAAGAGAAGCCAATGTTGGATCAGGCCAATGGCCCATCCAGTCCAACACTCTCTGTCACACAGTGGCCAAAAAGACCAGTGCCCTCAGGAGGTCCACCAGTGGGGCCAGGACACTAGGAGCCCTCCCATTGTTGCCCCCCCCCACCAAGCACCAAGAGTACAGAGCATCCCTTGCCCCAGAATGAGAGTTCCTATCTATACCTTGTGGCCAATAGCCACTGATGGACTTCTGCTCCGTATGCTAATCTTGAAGCTGTCCATGCTTGTAGCCGCCACCACCTCCCGTGGCAGTGAATTCCATGTGTTAATCACTCTTTGGGTGAAGAGGGACTTCCTTTTATCCGTTCTAACCCGACTGCTCGGCAATTTCACTGAGTGAGAAAGGGAGACAAGTGCTTCTTTCTCCACCTGCTCTATCCCAGGCAGAATCTTATAAACCTCGATCATGTCACCCCTCAGCCATCGTTTCTCCAAGCTAAAGAGCCCCAAGCGCTTTAACCTTTCTTCACAGGGAAAGTGTTCCAACCCTTTTATCATTCTCGTTGCCCATTTCTGCACTTTTTCCAAAGCTATAATATCCTTTTTGAGGTGTGATGACCAGAACTGCACACAGTATTCCAAATGAGGCCGCACCATCGATTTATACAGGGGCATCATGTTACTGGCTGGTCTGTTTTCAATCCCCTCCCTAATAATCCCCAGCACAGCATTGGCCTTTTTCCACTGCAGTCGCACACTGTCTCCACATTTTCACTGAGTTATCTACTACGACTCCCCTTCCCCCAAACCTCCGGCCTACACAGGCTTCGCCCTCAAATGGCCAGGAATTTCCCAAATCAGAGTTGCCGGGTCTTCACTTAAGCTACGGCAGGGTTGCCAAGCTCCAGATGGGTCCTGGAGATTTCCCGGAATGACAGCTGATTTCCAGACAACAAAAATCAGTTCCTCTGGAGAAATCGGGTGCTTTGACCCCACTGAAGGTGACAGTTGTGGGGAGAGGAAGGGAAAGGCGATTGTAACTGAAGGGTGGGATAGAAAACTCCTGCTGCTGCCCCATCCACACTGTAGGCAAACCCACTTTGACTCCAATTGTTCCAGGAAGTTGAGAGCAAAGCAGGTTTGGGTCGGGAGTTTGGGGGGGGGGGAATAGGAGGAGGAGGAACAGTGAGGTGGAGTGAAGTAACTGGCCAGTTTGGTGTAATCAGGGAGAACCGGGTTTGATTCCCCACGCCTCCACATGCAGCTGCTGGTGTGACCTTGGGTCAGTCACAAGTTCCTTCAGAGCTGTTCTCTCAAGGGCAGTTCTCAAGAGAGCTCTCTCGGCCCCGGCTGCCTCGCAGGGTGCCTGTTGTGGGGAAGGGGAGGGAAAGGAGATTGTAAACTGCTCTGAGACTCCTTTGGGTAGTGAAGGCTGGGGTATAAATTTTATATTTATTTATATTTATTTATTTATATTTAAATTTATACCCCGCCCTACCCCGAAGGCTCAGGGCGGCTTACAGGGCACAAGTGCCAGGTTTAAAACAATATCATATGATTTAAAATCAATAAATTACAATAAAATAAACAATTTACAACAAATAATAACAAATTTCAACCAAGAAAAGAGAGATCTTATCTGACATAGCGCGGCGTTTAGCATTACGTTCCACCCTTAGGGGCCAGGCAATCCGATGTTAATTCGATGTAATTCGCTTAGGGCTGAGCAGTGGCGGCGGCTCCTATCCAAAGGCCTGGCGGAAGAGCTCCGTCTTGCAGGCCCTGCGGAACTGAGAAAGGTCCCGCAGGGCCCGGATCTCTTCCGGGAGCTCCTTCCACCAGGTAGGAGCCGCCACCGAGAACGCCCCAGCCCTAGTCGCAGCAAGTTTAGCTTCTTTCGGGCCTGGAATCTCCAGGAGATGTTGCCCTCCCGACCGAAGTGCCCTTGGGGGAACATATGGAGAAAGGCGGTCCCTCAGGTAGGCTGGACCCTGGCCATTTAGGGCTTTAAAGGTCAAAACCAGCACTTTGAAGCGAATCCGGTATGCTATCGGCAGCCAGTGCAGCGCTTTCAGCACAGGCTGAATGTGGTCCCTCCTCGAGAGACCCATCAACAGCCTGGCTGCAGCATTCTGCACTAGCTGCAGCCTCCGAATTCGCGACAAAGGCAGCCCCATGTAAAGAGCGTTACAGTAGTCTAGCCTTGAGGTAACCGTCGCATGGATCACTGTGGCCAGGTCCTCACGGCTGAGATAGGGGACCAACTGCCGAGCCAGCCGAAGGTGGTAAAAGGCCGCCCTGGCAGTGGTTGCAACCTGGGCCTCCATTGTTAGTGAAGAGTCCAGGCGCACCCCCAGACTCCTAACCTCCGACGATGGCACCAAAGGCACCCCATCGAAGGTAGGGAGAGGGAGCCCCAAACCCACGCCGGTCCGACTCAGGCCCAGGACCTCCGTCTTTTCCGGGTTTAGTTTCAACCGGCTCAGCCTGAGCCAACCAGCCACAGCCTGTAACGCCCGATGAAGGTCATCAGGAGAAGAGCCCGACCGGCCGCCCAACATCAGATAGAGCTGGGTGTCATCAGCATACTGGTGACAGCCAGTCCCCCCCCCCTCCTCCTAGCCCAGTGTGGAATCAGGGTTGTTTCCCTGCCACCTATGGTCCCAGAATTTTGTGGGGGTTGGCATGGAGCCATGACCTTCCCCCCAGCTTGCCAGGCATCCTCGTCCAACTGAGGCCTGTCTGTTCCCCTCCCCGCTTACATTGTGTCTCGGCTCCAGGTCCAGAACGACAGTGACCCAGAAGACCTCTTGCAGATGTTCATCAACCCCAACGAAGTCTACAGTTCGAGGAGCCCCCTGGCCTCCCCGGAGAGCGACAGCGGCATTTCCGACGACCCCTGTGCGGACACCCCCTTGCAGAATGAGGCCGTCTCCCTGGACTTGTCCCCCAGGGCCATTTACGAGGTCATCTGCGACTCCGGGTTGATGGAGGGGGAGACGCTGCCGGCCAACATCTTCTCCAGCCACCTAGGTATATGGGGGGGGGGGGCCAAGTGAGGGCGCACCACTTTGGAAATAGTTGGGAGAGCCAGTTTGGTGTAGTGGTTAAGTGCGCGGACTCTAATCTGGGAGAACCGGGTTTGATTCCCCACTCCTCCACTTGCTCCTGGCTGGATGACCTTGGGCAAGCCGTAGTCCTGATAAGGGCTGTTCTTGAAAAAATAACAGTTTCTGTCAGGGCTCTCTCAGCCCCACCTCCCTCACAGGGTGTCTGTTGTGGGGAGGGGAAGGGAAAGGAGTTTGTAAGCCGCTCTGAGACACCTTTGGGTAGTGAAGGGCAGGGTATAAATCCAATCTCTTCTTCTTCTTCTTTTACCTCACAGCGTGTCTGTTGTGGGGAGGGGAAGGGAAAGGAGACTGTAAGCCACTCTGAAACACCTTTGGGTAGTGAAGGGTATAAATCCAATCTCCTCCTCCTCCTCCTCCTCTTCTTCTTCTTTATAATTTGGATTTATGAACCACCCTCCCCTGAGTACACGGGGCTCAGTGCGGTGGACAACAAAGAGTTAAAAGATTCCTAAATAATAAGACAATTTAAAAATGATACGGAAATAGTACTAACGTAGATAAAACAGTCTCAGATGGCACAACATTCCAATTGTGTGTCTGCCTCGTGTGTGGGGGGAGTAGAGAACCAGAAGAGGAGATTGGATTTATACCCCGCCCTTCACTATCCAGAGGAGTCTCCGAGTGGTTTACAAACTCCTTTCCCTTTCCCTCCCCACAAGAGACACCCTGTGAGGTTGGTGGGGCTGAGAGAGCTCTGACAGAAACTGCTCTTTTTCCAGAACAGCTCTTGTCAGAACTATGGCTTGCCCAAAGTCATCCAGCAAACGTCATGTGGAGGAGTGGGGAATCCAACCCGGTTCTCCCAGATTAGAGTCCGCGCACTTAACCACCACACCAAACTGGCTCTCATGGAGGCAGGGAAAGTGGGAAGAAAGAGGGAGCGTCAGTGAGATGGTACCCGTCACTGTCCTCAGCCAAACGCCTGGCAGAACATCTCTGCCTGACAATGGCAGGGCTTGGAGGGGGGCCTCAGCAGGGCATAGAGTTATGGAGTCCGCCTTCCACAGCAGCCATTTTCTCCAGGTGAACTGGCCTCTGCCACCTGGCGTGTCCCACCTGATCCCTTCATGTCTGCTACTGTCATTCAGCATCTGAAATCACTCCAGTCTCCAAGCTGTGAGGACAGATGGACTCACATTCTAACTGTATCTGAAGAAGGGAGCCGGGACTTACAGAAGCTCCTACCTGGCCACAAATTTTGCGGTGGCTCAGTGGTTAAGACGCTGAACTGCAGACTGGAAGGCCACTAGTGCCACGTGACGGAATGAGCTCCCGCCTCTGGCCCCAGCTCCTGCCAACCTAGCAGTTTGAAAGCAAGAAATTGCAAGTAGATAAACAGGTACCACTTCGGTGGGAAGGTAACAGCGTTCCGTGCATCTCGGCTTCTAGTCGTGCCGGCCACATGACCACGGACGTGTCTTCGGACAGCGCGGGCTCTTCGGCTTGGAAACGGAGATGAGCACGGCCCCCTAGAGTCGGATTTGACTGGCTTTCGAGCAAGGGAAGCCTTTACCTTTAAGGTGCTACTGGACTCTTGCTCTTTTCTACTTCTTAGCCCAAACCTGGATAGCTAGCCTGCTCTAGGGTTGCCAAATGGCACTCACCTCCTTGGCGGGGGACTCCCGGGCAGCTCCCGGTGCGCGCGCGCGCCGCATCTACGTCACCCGGATGTGACGTCATGACGCCGGGCACGCTGGGGGCGGGGCCACAGCCATTTGAGGGGAAAACATAGAGTTTTCCCCTCAAATGGCTGTGGCCCCGCCCCCAGCGTGCGACGTCACATCTGGGTGACGTGCACACGGGAGTGCGGTTTCCCCCAGGGCCCGATTCCGTGGGGGCGAAAATCGGGCCTCCAAAGTGGGGGGAAATCCGCCCCCCGGGGGGATTTGGCAGCCCTAGCCTGCTCTCATATCTCAGAAGCTGAGCAGGACCGACCCTGGTTAGTACTTGGCTAGTAAACCTCCAAGGAATACCAGGATCATGACATAGAGGCAGGCAATAGCAAACCGCCTCTGAACCTCTCTTCCCTTGAAAACCCTACGGGGTCGCTATGACTTCACAGCACTTTCCACCACCATATCTTTTTCCTCCAGGCGACTAGCAACCCCTTCCCATGTCCACCTCACGGCCTGTCCCCCTCACAACTGAAACCACATGTCTTTGGTTCCCCAGGAAACTGGAGTCCCCCAATAATGCTTCCTGAGGCCTGCATTACGAGCGAAATTTCACCTGCCCTCTTTCAGAACATCATGCAGCCCAGCACGGCAGAAACCTCCAAGGACCAGGTAAGGTTCTGGGACTCTAAATGGCCTAGAGAGGACTTGAGGCTCAGGCTGTCAAACCGGGATCCTGCCATGATCATGGAGTGCCACGTGACCTGCTCTGACCTATCGCAGTTAAGAGCCTCCCCTATTGGTCAGTCTGATTTCTCTGCACTACCCTACTTTCGCCAGGAGATGGCGCTAGTGCATAGGCTGATATCCTTCCGGTTCCATACCAGGTACAGGCACCACCCTCTATGGAAGAACCATAACCCTAAGAAGGACATAAGGGTTGGCTGATCTTTCTCAGTGGAAAAAGGCACTCTGTATGTAATCAGAGGTGCTCTTATTTCCATGCCAGCAGGAGGGGGAAAAGTTCTGAATAAATGGCACAAGGGAGGAGAGCTGCAGTTCTGGTGACTGACAGGTTCCAAAGTGAACTCTGAGGCCCAAAAGCTGGTGAGGTGCAGTAAAATTAAGCATGTTTTGAAGCAAACGAACATAAGTACATCTGTCAAATGCGGCAGGGAAGCCCTCAGAAAGGGCCCCTGCCGGCAGCAGGCCTTCCCCACTGGCTGCACCCCCCCAGCCCCTGACAATTGGTGTCATTCTGTCTCTGAAACCAGGGGGAATGTCATCCAACTATCATAGCGAACAGCCAGCGACTGGCCTTTGCCATTCGTCCCACCCCCTTTTAAACCCCTCTAACCGAGTGGCTGTCACATCTGGCGGCAGGGAGTTCTGCAGGTAGAAAGAACTTAAGAACCTAAGAAGAGCCCTGGTGGATCAGACCAGTGAGGGTCCTTCTAGTCCAGCATCCTGTCTCACACAGTGGCCTCACCCAGTTCCTCTGGAGGGCCAGCAACAGGGCAGAGAGGCTGAGGCGTTCCCCTCAGAAGAACATCAGAAGAGCCCTGCTGGATCAGACCAGTGAGGGTCCTTCTAGTCCAGCATCCTGTCTCACACAGTGGCCTCACCCAGTTCCTCTGGAGGGCCAGCAACAGGGCAGAGAGGCTGAGGCGTTCCCCTCAGAAGAACATCAGAAGAGCCCTGCTGGATCAGACCAGTGAGGGTCCTTCTAGTCCAGCATCCTGTCTCACACAGTGGCCTCACCCAGTTCCTCTGGAGGGCCAGCAACAGGGCAGAGAGGCTGAGGCGTTCCCCTCAGAAGAACATCAGAAGAGCCCTGCTGGATCAGACCAGTGAGGGTCCTTCTAGTCCAGCATCCTGTCTCACACAGTGGCCTCACCCAGTTCCTCTGGAGGGCCAGCAACAGGGCAGAGAGGCTGAGGCGTTCCCCTCAGAAGAACATCAGAAGAGCCCTGCTGGATCAGACCAGTGAGGGTCCTTCTAGTCCAGCATCCTGTCTCACACAGTGGCCTCACCCAGTTCCTCTGGAGGGCCAGCAACAGGGCAGAGAGGCTGAGGCGTTCCCCTCAGAAGAACATCAGAAGAGCCCTGCTGGATCAGACCAGTGAGGGTCCTTCTAGTCCAGCATCCTGTCTCACACAGTGGCCTCACCCAGTTCCTCTGGAGGGCCAGCAACAGGGCAGAGAGGCTGAGGCGTTCCCCTCAGAAGAACATCAGAAGAGCCCTGCTGGATCAGACCAGTGAGGGTCCTTCTAGTCCAGCATCCTGTCTCACACAGTGGCCTCACCCAGTTCCTCTGGAGGGCCAGCAACAGGGCAGAGAGGCTGAGGCGTTCCCCTCAGAAGAACATCAGAAGAGCCCTGCTGGATCAGACCAGTGAGGGTCCTTCTAGTCCAGCATCCTGTCTCACACAGTGGCCTCACCCAGTTCCTCTGGAGGGCCAGCAACAGGGCAGAGAGGCTGAGGCGTTCCCCTCAGAAGAACATCAGAAGAGCCCTGCTGGATCAGACCAGTGAGGGTCCTTCTAGTCCAGCATCCTGTCTCACACAGTGGCCTCACCCAGTTCCTCTGGAGGGCCAGCAACAGGGCAGAGAGGCTGAGGCGTTCCCCTCAGAAGAACATCAGAAGAGCCCTGCTGGATCAGACCAGTGAGGGTCCTTCTAGTCCAGCATCCTGTCTCACACAGTGGCCTCACCCAGTTCCTCTGGAGGGCCAGCAACAGGGCAGAGAGGCTGAGGCGTTCCCCTCAGAAGAACATCAGAAGAGCCCTGCTGGATCAGACCAGTGAGGGTCCTTCTAGTCCAGCATCCTGTCTCACACAGTGGCCTCACCCAGTTCCTCTGGAGGGCCAGCAACAGGGCAGAGAGGCTGAGGCGTTCCCCTCAGAAGAACATCAGAAGAGCCCTGCTGGGTCAGACCAGTGAGGATCCATCTAGTCCAGAATTCCTGTCTCACACCGTGGCCTCAACCAGTTCCTCTGGAGGGCCAACAACAGGGCAGAGAGGCTGAGGCCTTCCCCTCATAAGAACATCAGAAGAGCCCTGCTGGATCAGACCAGTGAGGGTCCTTCTAGTCCAGCATCCTGTCTCACAGTGTCTTCAACCAGTTCCTCTGGAGAACCAACAACAGGGCAGAGAGGCCAAGGCCTTCCCCTGATGTTGCTTCCTGGCTCTGGGATGCAGAGGCTTAGTGCCTCTGAATGTGGAGGTTCCCTTCAGTCACCATAGGTAGTAGCCAGACTTACCATGCATGAATCTGTTTATCCCTGTGACCATCACCGCATTCCCTGACAGCAAATTCCACATTTTAATCACTCTCATTGTAAAGTGGTATTTCCTTTTGTCCGTCCTGAACCTACTGCCCATTGGCTTCATTGGACGCCCTCAAGTTCTAGAGAGGGAGAAACGGTTCTCTTTGTCAACTCTCTCCTCCCCATGCGTAATTTTATAAACCTCTGTCATGTCCCCCCCCCCCTTAGTCATCTCTTTTCTAAACTGAAAAGCCCCAAACTCTTCAGCCTTTCCTCACGGGGAAGGTGCTCCAACCCCCTCATCATCTTGGTTGCCCTCCTCTGCACTTTGTCCAGCTCGGCAGTGTCCTTTTTGAGATACGCTGACCAGAACTGTCCGTTGTAAGTGCTGCGTGAAGTGTAGAAGATGGCGGCAATGGATGTCATTCCACGGAGGAAACACCCATGCCTCAGCTAACCTTGTCTGCCTCCGGGTGGGCGGGACAGGGCTCGTTCCTGCAGCATCACCACCTGGACTTCTTCTTGACGGACGAGGAAAGGCGGCTGCTGACCCAGGAGGGCGTGTCAGTGCAAGGCAACCTGCCCCTCACCAAGGTAAGTGAGGGGGAAGTGAGGGAGAAGGCCCTGGCTGCACAAGGGATACATAAGGATACAGATGTGGAGCCAGAGCAGCAAGGGGCTGTGGCTTACATAAGAACATAAGAGAAGCCAAGGTTGGATCAGGCCAACGGCCCATCCAGTCCAACACTCTGGGTCACACAGTGGCCAAAAATACCAGGTGCCATCAAGAGGCCCACCAGTGGGGCCAGGACACTAGAAGCCCTCCCACTGTTGCCCCCCCCCCAAGCACCAAGAATACAGAGCATCCCTTGCCCCAGACCGAGAGTTCCTATCTATACCTTGTGGCTAATAGCCACTGATGGGCCTCTGCTCCATATAAGGACATAAGAGACGCCAAGGTTGGATCAGGCCAAAGGCCCCTCCAGTCCAACACTCTGTCACACAGTGGCCAGAAATACCAGGTGCCACCAGGAGGTCCAGCAGCAGGGTCAGGACACTAGAAGTCCTCCTATTCTTGCCCCCACCCCAAAGCACCAAGGATACAGTGCATCACTTGTCCCAGACTGAAAGTTCCTATCTATACCTTGTGGCTAATAGCCACTGATGGGCCTCTGCTCCATATAAGGACATAAGAGATGCCAGTGTTGGATCAGGCCAAAGGCCCCTCCTGTCCAACACTCTGTCACACAGTGGCCAAAAATACCAGGTGCCATCAGGAGGTCTAGCAGTGGTGCCGGGGCACTAGAAGCCCTCCCACTGTTGACACCCCCCCAGCACCAAGATTACAGAGCATCACTTGCCCCAGACTGAGAGTTCCTGTCTGTACCTTGTGGCTGACAGCCACTGATGGACTTTTGTTCCATATGCTTATCCAATTCCCTCTTGAAGCTGTCCGTGCTTGTAGCCACCACCACCTCCCGTGGCAGTGAATTCTGTGTGTTAATCACTCTTTGGGTGAAGAAGGACTTCCTTTTATCCATTCTAACCCGACTGCTCAGCCATTTCATGGAGTGCCCACCAGAGTTCTTGTCTTGTGAGAAAGGGAGACAAGTACCTCTTTCTCTACCTCCTCTATCCCAGGCATCATCTCATAAACCTCAATCATGTCACCCCTCAGTCGTCATTTCTCCAGGCTAAAGAGCCCCGAGCGCTTTAACCTTTCCTCATGGGGAAAGTGTTCCAACCCTTTGATCACTCAAGTTGCCCTTTTCTGCCCTTTTCCCAATGCTACAATATCCTTTTTGAGGTGTGGTGGTGACCAGAGCTGTACACAGCACTCCAAATGAGGCTTAGTGGGAGAATTGCAAGCAGAAATATTTGAATCAAAAGATATGGGGTATAGATTGCAGTGCCCTGACCTGGGGTGACCTGGGGTGGCCCAGGTTAGCCCGATCTCATCAGATCTTGGCCGTTAAGCTGGTCAAGCCCAGGTTAGTACTCGGATGGGAGACCGCCGAGGAAGCCCAGGGTTGCTAGGCAGAGGCAGGCAGTGGCAAACCACCTCTGAACGTCTCTTGCCTCGAAACCCCCAGGAGGGGGTTGCCATAAGCCGGGTGTGACTAGTCTCCACCCCCGATTGCAGTCCACGGGCACGGGTGGGTAGCCAAGTGCGCAGGCAGCAAGCGGCAGGTTTGCACGGGCTGGGAGACCATACTCGAGGCCGCCTCGGCCTGGGACCGACGGATGACAGACCCTCTCTCCTCTCACAGGCAGAGGAGCGGGTCCTGAAGAAAGTGCGGCGGAAAATCCGGAACAAGCAGTCGGCCCAGGACAGCCGGCGGCGGAAGAAGGAGTATATCGACGGGTTGGAGAGCCGGTGAGAGCAGAGCCAGGGGGGAGCTGTTTTGTTTCAGTTTTATTTCTTTTAAAAATGTCCAGTCTCCCAGTTTTCTGATAAAGGCGAGCAATCCCCACATAGGCTGATTCTGCATCGGCCTTTCCCTCTGTTGTTTCACAAAACCCACGCTGGGACAGAAATTCCCCTCTGCATGGCATGCCGCTTTGCGCTTTCACTTCCTTTGATTGTCGAGTTTTATGGTAGCCTCCACCAATGCTCCCTGTAAGCAATGTTCCCTCTAAGCTGTGGAGTCCTGTAAGCCAAAATTCTGCTTTGTGAGCTCCTGGCATTAAAGCTGTGAGCGAGTGATTTGGCTACTGCATAAGTTAGTTAGCTCTTGGAGCCCTCCTTCCTGAGCTAAGACAAAATTCTGTGAGCCAGAGGCTAAAAAACTGTGAGCTAGCTCACACTCACTCAGCTTAGAGGGAACACTGCCTGTAAGTCGTGGAGTCTTGTGAGCAAAACTTCAGCTTTGTGAGCTACTGGCATTAAAGCTGTGAGCAGGCGATTTGGGTACTGCATAGATTACTTTGCTCTGGAGCCATCCCTTCCTGAGCTAAGGCAAAAATGTGTGAGCCGGAGGCTAAAAAACTGTGAGCTAGCTCAAACTAACTCAGCTTAGAGGGAACCCTACTGCATGCCGCTTTCGCTTTCTTTGATCATCGAATTCTACGGTACCTTCTGCATAGATTTATGGCCTTTTTATGGCCGTTCAGGGGCGACTTTGCAGTCAGTACGGCGTTGCCCTGGAGGTATTTGAATGTGGTTTCGAGCTGCACTTCTTCCTCCCAGTTGAGAAAATGTGGAGCGAATGCTAGATGCAGAATTGCCCACAGAAGCTCGCTGGGTGACCTTGGGCCAGTCCCTCAGCCTAACTTACCTCGCAGGGTTGCTTCCATGGCAGAGCAGGGACTCGAACCTGGGTCTCCCAAATCCTCGTCCAATGCTCTACCCGCTATGCTGCAAGACCAGGAGTAAGGCCTCTGAAAAAGCACACATATTACAATGTGGAAGAGACTTGGCGCGTGGCTTTGGCCGGTCCGGTCCAGAAAGACGGTGCAACGATTTTCTTTTAAGAGGCTCGATTCCTAGTAGGCACCAAGCAAACTAGTTTGTGAGGAAAGCGTGAACAACAGGAATGAATCTAAGGGACCGGCTCTTCCCATATATGCCTCGAAGAGCGTTACTCTCAAAAGATCAACATCTCCCGGTGGTGCCTGGCCCAAAGAACACCCGTCTTGCCTCAACCAGGGCCAGGGCTGTCTCTATCCTGGCTCCGGCCTGGTGGGACATGCTCCCTACTGAGACCAGGGCCCTGCGGGATCTCCTTCAATTCCGCAGGGCCTGCAAGACGGAGCTCTTCCACCAGGCCTTCGGCTGAGGCAGTGGACGCCCATCTATGGCCTCCCTGAGGTTGCTGTCACCCGTCTGTCACCTGTTGACTGACCACTGACAACTGGCCTTTAACCCATTGTACCATCAGGCCAGAATCTTATAGCCCACTTAGGCTCTTCCAAGCTGTACCCATTGTTTTTTGAAGAAGAAGAAGAAGAAGAAGATGATGATGATGATGATGATATTGGATTTATACTCCGCCCTTCACTACCCAAAGGAGTCTCAGAGCGCCTTACAAACTCCTTTTCCCTTCCCCTCCCCACAACAGACACCCTGTGAGGTAGATGGAGGCTGAGAGAGCTCTTGACAGAACTCTCCTTGAGAGAACAGCTCTTATCAGAACTACGGCTTGCCCAAGGTCATCCAGCCAGGTGCAAGTGGAGGAGTGGGGAATCAAACCCGGTTCTCCCAGATTAGAGTCCGTGCACTTAACCACGACACTAAACTGGCTCTCTGTTATAATGTTTTATTGTGTTTTAATGTTTAATGTTTTAAACTGAAATTGTATTTATTTCAATGACGTTACTCGCCCTGATCCCACCCGCAGGATGGGCGGGATATGAATGCAAATAATAAATAAATAAATGTGTGGCAGACCTAAGAGGGAAATGGTCCTTCGGAAATGTGCCCCCCATCTATGATGATGATGATGATGATGATGATGATGCTGCCATATACATGGGGGGGGGGAAGCCCTCAAAAGGTTACATTATTCTCATAAAGGGTTTGGCAGAGAATTTGAACAAGTAATATCTCCCAATCTGTGAAAAAAACGCAAAGTGCCAGTGTCCTTGGCTAGGAAGTCCTTTTTAAGTCCTTTTTAAGCAAGAAAAGTGAGGTGCACGGATGAAGTGAATCCAAAAAAAGGGTGAAATGTACTGGGTTCAGACGCGTAGAAGTGATCAGCTCATAGATTATTTAGTGATTCAGCAAGAGAAAGAAGAAGACTGCAATCCCTGGCCGAAGCCAGGTATTTATGCCTGCTTTTATTATTATTTGTAAGCCACCCTGAGCCACCTTGGCGGGAGGGCAGGGTAAAAGTTTAATAAATAAATAAATAAGGGTTACACCCAAAAACACCCCACTCCCAACGATAGGCTATTTACACTCTTATTGTTTCCCAGCTGGTTTACTCTAGGATCCCTGTCTCCCTATTGGTCCATTCTAGGATCCTGGCGATCTATTGTTCTGCATCCCCAAGCTCAGTCCTTTTGCAAGGACAGTTCAGGCTCAATACAGAACACCGAGAAAATCCTCCGTATAATTAAACTTCCAAAAATACTCAAAGACACCAACTATGATGCTTACAAATTATTTACATCATCGGCAATAACACGCAAAACAATCTCAATACAAATCTTGAAATTCATATAAATAAATTGTGCAAATAGGGAAAGGTCCAAGTCTGCGAGTCACAGAGCAAAGGATTGTAAATTGCAAATTCAGAAGTCCATTCAACAATCCTTCTGTCCCTGAAGACTTAAAGGTCTGTTCTCACAGCAGCTCCGAAAGTTTTGTTCCAGCTGAAGGGCCGAACTGCTGTTGTACCACGTTGTTTTACCAAAGCGTTATCCAAGGCTCTTTTTGCAGAAAAAGCCCAGCAGGAACTCATTAGCATAATAGGCCACACCCAACAGCAGAAACTCATTAGCATATTGGGCCACACCCCTGACAGCACAGCTCATTAGCATATTAGGCTGCACCCCCATGTTACCAGAAGTGTGGTTATCCAGCCACACCCACCTTTTGCTTCTTATTCTGTTTACCTTGTTTGTTGTCAAAAACCCAGGGCCTTTTTTTGTAGCAGGAACTCCTTTGCATGTTAGGCCACACACCCCTAATGTAGCCAATCCTAATGAGTTCCTGCTGTTGGGTGTGGCCTGTTATGCTAATGAGTTCCTGCTGGGCGTGGCCAACTTGGGAGCCAGATGGAACTCCGTTCCTGTGCATTTCCCAAAAATAGCCCTGGCGTTATCCAAGATGGAACTTAACAAGAACCAAAACTAATGCATAATAAAACCTTTCATGCCACTGCATTCATCCAGATGGTTGTAGGCTTAATTATACAGAGGATTTTTCCCTTTTTTTTTGTAGCCACCTTGAGGGTCCCCGTTGGCAAAACCAACCCTAACTGTCAGTTTCCTTTGCTCATTCCTCGACAGGGTTGCAGCGTATTCAGCCCAGAACCAGGAACTGCAGAAGAAACTGCAGGAGCTTCAGACACACAACGTGTGAGTTTGTCGGTGCCCCTATCCTCGGAGGGAAACCCGGGGCTCCTGGGCCTGCTCTGTGCAGCAGGGATCCCCAACGCGGTGCCCGCGGGCGTCATGACCAATGTTCCCTCTAAGCTGTGGAGTCTTGTGAGCAAAAAATCTACTCTGTGAGCTACTGGCATTAACGTTGTGAGCGAGCGATTTGGCTACTGCATAAATTAGCTTGCTCTGGAGTCATCCTCCCTGAGCTAAGACAAAATTCTGTGAGCTGGAGGCTAAAATTCTGTGAGCTAGCTCACACTAACTCAGCTTAGAGGGAACACTGGTCATGACATCCACCAACACCTTTTCCGGTGCCCATCAAAGTGTTGTAGAAAGCGGGTGAGGCCAGGCGGGTCTTCTTGCCCAGTGAGGCTTCTGATTGGCCACTGGAGATTGGATCGGCGATGCAGATTTTAAAAAATGTTGCTTTGGGAGCCACCGCCACCCCAGCACAAGGAGCTTCACTGTGTGACGGAGCTGCGGCGGCCGTTGTGTGACCGCTTCCACCGGGAGAGCCAGTTTGGTGTCATGGTTAAGAGGGGCAGGACTCTAATCTGGAGAACCGGGTTTGATTCCCCACTCCTCTTCCACACACAGCCAGCTGGGTGACCTTGGGTCAGTCACCGTTCTCTCAGAGCTGTTCTCTCAAGAGCAGCTCTCTCAGAGTTCTCTCTCAGCCGGCCCACCTACTTCACAGGGTGCCTGTTGTGGGGAGAGGAAGGGAAGGAGATTGTGAGCCGCTCAGAGACTCCTTCGGGTAGTGAAGGGCCATGGGGTATAACACCAACTCCTCCTCTTCTTCTAAAACTCTGTGGGGTCCCGATTCAGCTCGGGACTGTGGCTCAGGTGGAAGATCACCTGGCCCCACCTGGAGATTGGCAACCCTACTCCAGGCCCTATTCTGATATAAGGGGAAACAGGTTGATGCCACTCTGAGCTTCTTACAGCCAAGAAGAAGAAGAAGAGAAGAAGAGACTGGATTTATTCCCCGCCCTTCATTACCCGAAGGAGTCTCAGAGCGGCTTACAAACTCCTTTCCCTTCCCCTCCCCACAACAGACATCCTGTGAGGTAAAAGAAGAAGAAGAGATTGGATTTATACCCCGCCCTTCACTACCCAAAGGAGTCTCAGAGCGGCTTACAAACTCCTTTCCCTTCCCCTCCCCACAACAGACATCCTGTGAGGTAAAAGAAGAAGAAGAGATTGGATTTATACCCCGCCCTTCACTACCCAAAGGAGTCTCAGAGCGGCTTACAAACTCCTTTCCCTTCCCCTGCCCACAACAGACACCCTGTGAGGTAAAAGAAGAAGAAGAGATTGGATTTATACCCCGCCCTTCACTACCCAAAGGAGTCTCAGAGCGGCTCACAAACTCCTTTCCCTTCCCGCAACAGACACCCTGTGAGGTAGGTGGGGCTGAAAGAGCTCTGACAGAAAGAAACTGCTCTTTTCAAGAACAGCTCTGACAGAACTATGGCTTGCCTAAGGTCATCCAGCAGCTGCAAGTGGAGGAGTGGGGAATCAAACCTGGTTCTCCCAGATTAGAGTCCGCACACTTAACCACTACACCAAACTGGCATTTTTTAACATATTGGACCAATTCCTTTTCATCCACTGCTGATGTCCAGCTTGGTGTGCAGTGGGTAAGAGTGGCGGACTGTAATCTGGAGAACCAGGTTTGGTTCCCCACTTCCTCCATATGAAGCCAGCTGGGTCAGTCATGGTTCTCTCAGAGCTCTCTCGGCCCCACCTACTTTACAGGGTGTCTATTCTGGGGAGGGGAGGGGAAGGGAAGGCGACTGTAAGCCACTCTGAGGCTCCAACTGAAGGATGGATTATAAAACCAACTCTCCTCCTCCAGCAGCCATTTTGTGGCTGTGGCCATCACATCTATATACTAATACTGAAGTTGCCCCTGGTGTGCGGATACTTAAATCCGCACATCGGGGGCACCTGGGGGAGGAGGGAGAGTTTTGGGCACACGTGGGGCAGTCCCCACATCTGCACAAAAATCAGAAACCCTGAAAAAAAATCGGGGGGATGTTTAAATCCCCCCAAAAGTGTCAGAGCGTCCCCTGCACATGCGCAGGGAAAGCTCTGCGAACGCCGCTGCCGCCGCCGCCACCACTTGGAAGGTGAGCGGCGAGCGGCGAGCAGGGAGGGGGGGCCAGAGCCGCTCGGCCCTCCCTTCAGTGCCGGGGGGGAAGAGAAACAACCGGCGCTGGCACCGCCGGCACCGCTGGCGCTTGGGAGGGAAGCGGCGAGCAGGGAGGGGGGGCTCAGAGCGGCGAGGGCCCAGCGGCTTGCCGCTCGGCCCTCCCTTCGGGGCCGGGGGGGAGAAAAAGCCGCCGCCGGCACCGCCGGCGCTTGGGGG